ACCGATACAAACAATCATACTCATGAATACAAATGTTTGTGCCGTGCGAGGAATCGAACCCGCGACCATCGGTCGTAAAGCGGTGTGCTTGACCGCTAGACCACCGAGGTCGTCATATTAATATATACTATTACTTGTATTAACACTGGGCACCCTTCCATTTCTTTACGTCGTCACACAACTTAGATTTAAAGTCTACGTAACAACAAAAATCTGCATATCTTGACAAGCTGAAGAGGAAACGCCACTACACATCCTATGTGGTCCCACTCATGCATAAATGAATTGTCTCCTTCGGAAAGTATACACTCCATCCTGAGGAGATTAAAACCATCGCTCCTAAGAATATCCTTTAATTCTTGTCCCTGACGAGTCTAGGTAGAGATCTCTGGAAAAAGGGCGAGCACAATAGATCTATGTAGGTCGCAGTGCTAAAGGTTCAAGCATATAACAAAAGCCCACCCACCCACGCACCCACCCAAAAAAAAAAAAACAACAAAATAATTGGACAGTTTAAAACAATTCAGCCGTATACTCACTACAAATATACTAGAAGGAACAAATATCTCATCACATCACACATAATGATATAGTGATGAAGTGATACCCATCACGCTACAAATTAAACGATTATTAATAATAATAATATTATACATTTATTTAGCCAACATTGTTAACATTAGCATACATACATATACATACACGCAGCCACTCCAACATAGTAAAATAATAATTAAAAACCAATATGCTACTATAAAATATTTGCTACGGACCCCGCTGATATTGCTGCAGGCGACGCTACAACGCTGATTTTAAGACGACGACTTAGGGTAAATAATATCACGCAAAAGAAATATTTCTTTATATAACACCATCGTTTTATCGATACATCCGTAACTTAACAATAACTAGCCGTCTTGAAAAACAATAAACTCAGTGTTCGTCTAACAAACTCAGCACTAGCTTTTAACACTAACACCTTTCAAAATTACATCATTTTCTGAGTTACACGATGGCCGGGGGAGAAATATGCCTATTCTTACTGATGATTATAATATTAACTTAAAATCAGATAAAAACTCACGCTAGTTTGAGAGTCAAGACTGCATATTTATGAATGTTTATATAAATAAATATTATAATTGACCAGCGTACATGTCAATAGTTGTTCATGCACGGGATTATCATTTAATGTTATGCAAAGACACCTATATAAATATACATTGTAAGTGAACTGGATTAGAAAAAAAAAGAAATTCAATTGAGTTTCTTGCCAGTTCTTCTCAATTGGATCTATATACTGAACTGAACGGAAGGAAAAAACTGTAATACAAAAAAAAAATACATTCATAAGCGGATAAAATGACCTACTTTAATAAATTATTTTAAAATTTAAATTTTATTATTATTATTATAGCAGTCATTTGGTTTCAAAAATAGTTAATAGGTTAACCGAAAATATGCTGAGTTATGAAAATTGGTAATATAGACTGGTCAGTGATCTGTAACCGTCGCCTATATACTTGAACTGCACTACGGACATCACGTTATCATGTGACGCTCGTGATACCCATGCGTTACCATTCTGGACATTAAATTATCCAGATTTGCCCTGGTAGACCTTGTACAACTATTTCAGCCGCCAAGCTTGTTTTGTAAGGTGTTGTGGTTGTAGGGTGCAGATTAGGCAGTGAAATTACTGGATGTCCTGGTCTTCTGTAATAGCCATGCATCAGTAGTATCACGAGTGTCACATGATAACGTGATGTCCGTAGTGCTGTACATGTATATAAGCGACGGTTACCACTTACCATCAGGTGGGACGTCAGCTTGTTTACGTACAATTACATAAAAAAACCTATCCGATTTCCTTCCAACATCTAATATTAAATAAAATTTCTCTCCCCCATATCCAGGTACAGCCTTATTAGTAAAATTATCTAAACATACGCCTAACTCCATTTTAGGCCAAACTCTAAGTCAAGCATACGTGATATATCTAGCTAAACATAATATCTATTTTCAACTTTACATTTACGCAATAAGACTTATTGATTATTCGGTAACTCAATGACCACATTACAATATTTGCTTTAATAACCTATTTAATAAATAACTCAAAAAACGCAGTTTCTATGTTCATTGAAATGATTGAGTTTTATTGAGAAAATGCTAAGTTATTTATTTAATAATTGGGTTAGTACCTAATTATTAAATAAACAAATAATTTATATTTTTATCCAACATAAAACTCAGGGATTGTTAAATACGAAAATTAAAATATAAATACATAGGTTGTTGGTAGGTAACTGTGTTAATTGTAATTACTGAGAATTATTGATAATTTACTGAGTTTCAGTTATTTAATATATAATTATATGATTACCTAATTATTCAATAAATAACTCAAGAAACTCAGTATATTCTATACCTTTCCAACACAAAATTCAGTGATTGTTGTACACGAAAATTACAATACCAAAACATAATTATGTTATTTAAAATTATTGAGATTTATAAGAGTTTAAATTTCTTTATGTATTCAACATAAAACTCAGTGACTGTTGTACAAGAAAATTACAGTAGAAAAATATAACCGTGTTAATTGTAATTATTCCGATTTATACAGAGATTACAATTTCTATATCTTCCTAACATAAAACTCAGTGATTGTTGTACATGAGAATTACAATACGAAAACATAACTGTCTTAATTGAAATTTTGATTATTGGTCTAATGTTATTGTTTAAAAATACTTGATAAATATAATTTTACCACACAAAATTAACTTATGTTATAAAACAACGTATACAATTATTTTCAAAACTGTTTTCAATATTATTAATTTACATGTTCAATATAAAATGTATATAACTCAATAACAAAGTTTTTCATTTTGATTTGTGTCATATTAAACATTACATGCTAAAATCGCGTTATTTATTTAGATCTATCATTTCTATTACCATCCTATTAGAAATATAATAATATTTAAATTATATTATAATAAATAATTGCATTATTTTTAGTTCTATCATTTCTATTGCACGCTATTTAAATAAAATTAATATAAAAATTAGTAATAAATAAAGCTTTTAATTATCTATTGAATTCAATATTTACTACATTTAAATTAAAAATAATAAATAATTGCATTATTTTGAGTTCTATCATTTCTATTGCAAGCAATTTAAATAAAATTGATTCTAAAATTAAAATAAATAAAGCTTTTATTTATTTATTGAATTAAATATAATAACATTTAAATACAAATAATAATTAATTGCATTATATTTAGCTTAATTTCTATTGCACGACATTAAAACAAAATTATAATAATTAATAAATAAATCTTTTATTAAATACGTTAATTAAGTAAATAACTAAATAAAAACGTGTTTACATTTATAAAGTGATACTAACTTAATTATGTAAGTCACAAGTGCGTCGAACATACAAGTGTAAAGGTGGTTCATTATTGCCATTTTTTATATCCGATTGTATACTTCAGCTCGAATAGTAATACAATAAAATCCTTTGAAAAAAACTCAGCGCTGAGTTTTTGTTTTTTCCTTCGAATACAATAAAAAAATAACAAATTAAACAAGCTCATTTCAAAAGCCTCAAGAGCTGAGTTTCTTGTTATTTCATCTTGACTGAAACTATTCAGAATTGACGCTAGATTTGAAATATCAAAGCAGACTGACATAAACCTATATTGTTTCTATTTGATTTGATATATTTGTTAATTTTTATTTAATTGATTTTTAAAAAGGTATTTATAATTTATGATACTTTAATTCGAGCGGAGGTGTATTATATCTGTATTTTGAAATTTGGTCTCTAATGTTAAAGCTGGAAAGTAGATTTCTTAAATTAATTAATGAACTGCTCTAAAATGCAATTTTGTCAAATCGACTTTAAACTCAGTACAATTACAGTAGATTTTCCGATGTCAGAATACAAATTCTATATATTTAGCTTTAAATAACAATTTATACTATGTAACAAATTGTTTTTTATTGGAATTTGAACTCTGAAGTTATAATTATAAAGTCAAATATTGAAAATCCTTAATGAACTCAATTTAGACAAAAAAGATATTTAACCAAATCGACTTTAAACTACTGTATTTACAGGGGCGGATCGTGAATCTGTGGGGCCCAGAGCTAAATCTACTTAGGGGCCTGCCTAATTACATTACTCAACTGAAAAAATACATGACCAAAAACAAGCGACCAGAAATTCCCCGTTCCTTTCGATAGACGTGCACTTACATGGGTTGATTGATCTCAGAGTTGCCAACCTTATAATAGGTTTTTAACATTCTAGATATTTTATATATTCTAAATATCGTTTTAGTTGGGATTGGGGGCACTTTGTATCCTCAGGGCCCTGGGCTATAGCCCAAAAATTCCTTAGGAAGATCCGCCCCTGTGTACTTAACACAATTATAAAACAATTTTTAATTACCACAGAGAAGTTTTAACATTTCCAAATCTATGGAATCGCCTTCTAGTTTTATATTTTTTCTGAACTGTAAACAAAGTCAGAATGTATATACTAGTATAGTTATACATTATTTATAAAAAAAAATTAATGACTAGCTTCAATGAGACGCCATGTTGCTAAATATGTTAATTGTAAATATTTATAAATTAAAAAAACCAACGAACCACTCTCTCAGAAAAAAATCTCTAACAAATTGCAGCTAATGAGCATCTTGATCACGTTAGCTTTGAAACGAAATAAATCGCATCATAATTGCTCCATTCGTTTACTAGCAACGATGCTACACTCATAGATTTGTATGGCAAGGGGTCGATATTTGTATGGCAAGGGGTGGACGTTTGTATGGCAAAGGGTCGATATTTGTATGGCAAGGTGTTAACATTTGTATGGCAAGGAGTCAACATTTGTATGGCAAGAAGTCAATTTATATTGGCATTTCCGTTATATAAAAAAAATGACGCGATCGGAGGTCTAGCGGTTTAGTATATCACTTTAAGCAGCTTTACGTCGGTTTTCGCAAGTCCGATTCCTCGTAACATACATTTGTATTTGAATGTATGATTGTTTGTATCAATCTGGGTGTTTTCTATGTATATTATGTATGTATTCACCCATTAAATTTAAGTACTTATATCAGTTGTCTTTGTCCCAATTTGTGTCCCGGGTCCCAACAAGCTGCCCTTCATGAAGGAGGACTACTGCCCGAAAGGTGTGGTGTATCGGCGCTACCGTGGCAGATTGCCGCCATGAGTGTAGTGAGCACACAAACAATATTTAGTTTTAAAATATTTCATATGTATGTTAGTCTATAAACTATTTATAATACGGGCCTAGTTGCCTGAAATAAATAGTAATAATACAAGCTGTGCTTAGCTTGGGACTAGATGGCGCTGTGTGAATTGTTCTCGGTTAATTATAAATATATAAAAAGAAAAATGTAGCCCCAAATCTACACTCATAAGGAATCCATACCCAGCAGTTTCTATGACGACGAGACCACTTAATATTAACCTGCAGTTCTGACAGTCTACCGCCTAATGCCTATATTACAGTAAAAAAAAACAAATTTTGTTTATGCATCACAAATTTTAAATGCCACTACAATAATTGTTGCTAAAAACAACATTGAATCGTGCCAAATTTGTGTGGAATGAAGAAAAAATACTGTCAAATAGCGAACCTCGTACAATTCGAAGTTGGTTATGATATACATAAATAATAAAAGCACTCAATATATCATCAATATCATACAATATCATTTTTAAAGCCTGTTCATTAGTAAGAACACCATCGAAAGCGGTATAATAAGCTTACACAACTGATAAATTAACAATACAAAGTTTGTATCACCGAAACGCAACTCAAACGTAGTAGGAACGCTAGACTGATTTAAAACCTCTCCGTTGCGTATTCGTTGCGTTCACGCTGCGTTTTCGTTGCGGTGTCACTACGTTTCCATTGCGTATTCGTTGCGTTCACGCTGCGTCTCCGCTGCGGTCTCGCTACGTTTCCGTTGCGTATCCGCTGCGTATTCTATGCGTCACCGCTGCGTTTCACCTCCGATTGTGTCTAGGTTTACACGTATTGTTATTGGGGTATGCTATTTTATGCTAGTATCTATAATAATTAGGTTTGAATGGGCCGACTTTGTTGAGACCTAAATATTTAGCTTGTTCGTCGGTCAACTCTGTTAGGTGAGCATCAAACGTGGGTAGGTGCAAGCTAGCGACGTATTCGTCCATTTTCTTTGGTAATAAGTAGACATCGGCCTGAAATAAAAAAAAATGCAGCAAAATCGGTTAACTAATTCTTATTTAGCTGGTACGGTTCATGATCATCATCTGCTTCTTCCTTATCCCATTTATTTGGGTCGGCGTAATGTTTTTCTCTTCCATTCATCTCTGTTCGCAGTCATCTCGTTATTCACTCCCTTTCTTACCATATCATCTCTCATACAGTCCATCCATTTCTTTTTCGGTCTTCCTCTGCTCTTATAACCATCCACATTCATATGTAACACCTTCCTTAAAATATTATCTCCATTCCTATACATTTCATGCCCATACCACGGCAGACGATTAAGTTTTTTAGTTTATTTCAACTCTATTGTTTCTATTTGGGGATGGGCTGTAACTAAATTACGTTAGTTATTTTTAAATGTACAGCGTAAATTTATTATCTATAATGATATTATAAAGAGGTGAAGTTTGTATGTTTGTTTCTTTAGGGTTATCTTTGGTATTGCTGATCCGATTTTAAACGTTTTCTAAATTTTACGGTTAGAAATATATATTATAAATAGAAACTTTCATCCCAATTTTATTTTACCCCCTTAAGGGTAACATTTTTACAAAATTAGCATGTCATATTTATTTATATTGAATGAAGAGCCTAAAAAATAATTTTCAACTTCTAGCTTTAAAAATAACGATACTTCCGTACAACCCTTCATCTCCCCTATCAACCCATTACAACCCTTTTTTCGCATTAAACAGTAGCCTATGTCCTTTCTTACGATCTAGACTATCTAAACTGAACCAAAATGCACCAAATCAAATTAAATTTGGTACACCCCAAATTCATTTTATTCGGTTCAGTAGATTTGGCGTAAAAGCGAGACAGACAGACAGAGTTCCTTTCGCAATTATAATATTTATTATAATAGTAAGGATTTGCGTATTTATATTGAGAAGCAACAATGAGAATGTATGTTTCTCACCTTGTACCGATGCTGCGGTGCGTTGTACAACTCTATGAGTGCTAACGCCTGCGTGGCCGCCGTCACCGACACTGAGAATATGTATTGAGAATAACGATGAGAATGTATGTTTCTCACCTTGTACCGATGCTGCGGTGCGTTGTACAACTCTATGAGTGCTAACGCCTGCGTGGCCGCCGTCACCGACACCACGAACGACGGCAGTGACGAGCAACACAGGTTGGCGAGCCGGCCCTCCGCCAGCAGGACGATACGTTTACCGTTAGGCCAGATTATATGGTCCACCTGTGAATTAAGTTGAATTCAATTATATTTACAAACATTATAAAGGTCTGATTTTGTTATTACTTTATGTTTTACTAACATTAGTTATAGAAAAATTGTATTACTAACAAAATGGCTTAATTTATTAATTAATAAATTAGTTTTATTAATTAATAAATTAATAAATAATCTTAAGGAGAATGGAAGATAATAAACCGAATGGTCACGTCATAACACTAATATGAAAAACAGCAGTTAATACTACTTCGTTAAACAGTTCATTGTTTTGTGAAAATGGTTTAATTTCATAAGACTTTGGTTTATCGGGATTACTCTAACTGCTGTTCTCTTCACCGGATATTAGGGGGCGAGTGTAGATGGCACTCCAAACCAAAACAAGGACTTATGGAGCGGCTGAAGACCAACTTCTGCTCCCGTGTAACGGATATGACTTTAGTCTGAGGGCACCGCTGGGGGTTCGAACCTCGGGTCAGGCAGTCGTAATATCGATCCCCGTTTGTATCGGACGGGGGATCAATCGGAGAGGGATGATAACAATCGTACGACACTGTGTATATGTATGTAAATGTAAGAAAACATCGTTAGCGCGTTTCAGGCTGACCTGGCTGCGCACGCGCTCCCACAGCAGGTCGGGCGTGCGCAGGGCGTGGACGTCGACCTCGGTGTTGCTGTGTCCCATGTTGCAGACCACGCAGCCGTTCTTCATCCGCTCCATGTGCTCGCGGGTCACCACGCCCTTGTTACCTGTAGCTGTTATCACTATGTCCACTTGTCTTATCACCTGAACAAAAAGCAAATAATTGAGGCCGTCTCGGTCCTGTAGTTTACTACGCTGAATCACGCCCAAGAGGTCGCGAGGTCAAATCTGATTCTGATCGACACACGTATCAGAGAGTCGGAAGAATCACCCCATTTTTTTTTATATACAAGTATCTATATATATATTCATTTAGTGAGAACCTTTAAATTTTAAATTACAAATGTCTTTAATAAAACCTATTAACCCAATTAAATTTATGAATTTATTTGCATTAAGAGATCAGCGTTTGGGCATTACAGTCCAGACACAAAGCCGAGTGGAATCCAACTTGATCGCAGCTGTATTTTTAAAATAATTAATTATAATATGTTGTAGGATTGTTTTGTATGCGCCAATTAAATATATTAATATACATATATATATGTATGTATGTGTTCACAATCTCACCTCGTTTAATTTAACCACCCTAAAACCGTCCATGGCGGCCTGCAACGCGCATATTGGGTCTATTTCTGTCACGTACACCTGTATATATATAAAAAATATATTAAAAATACAGGTGGAATGTTGTAGTTTTATTTTATATGTATATAGGTAAAAGGAAAACTATAGAAAAGTCTTGGAATGGAAAAAGACGCTGATACATATTAGGAAACTATTTAAAAGACAGAATGAAGTATAAAACAAGAATGTACTATTAAAGTATAATATATATATATATATATATATATATATAATATAGCTAGCTGTCCCGGCAAACGTTGTTTTGCATTAAAATAAAAAAAAAATTAAGGGTGGACCACCCCTAACATTTAGGGGGATGAAAAATAGATGTTGGCCGATTCTCAGACCTATTCAATACGCTCACAAAATTTCATGAGAATCGGTCCGTCAGCCGTTTCGGAGGAGTATGGGAACGAAAACTGTGACACGAGAATTTTATATATAAGATAATAAAAAATAAAACTACAATATGGAGCAATATCATGGAATCATCCATAAGGAGTGCAGAGAGGGTCAACCAAATGTGATTTTAATATCAAAATGTCATTCAATAATGATTATTTAAAAAAAAACGTTCACTTACCACACAACCAAGCGCTTTCAGCGCTTGACAGCAGCCCTTCCCAACTTCGCCGTACCCACATACGACCGACTGTTTGCCGCCAAACATCAAGTCTGTACTGCGCTTTAAAGCATCTATTATGCTTTCCCTGTTAATTAAAAATGATTATATTAATTCGCGAAACAAAACCTTTGTAGCCCTTTTGCGAAAATGCGCGACCGGAGCTGTATGAAACGCACACTTATAGTTTGAAATAGAAATAGAAATAGAAATAATCTTTATTCAAATAAACTCATTACAAGCACTTTTGAATAGTCATATTTTGATTCTACCACTCATTCGGAATGCAGATTCATCACAAGAACAATGAGCAAGAAACTTGTGTGTTGCTCTTTTTAATAGATTTTTTTTTATATAAATAAGTACAGTATAACAAGTAAGAGGCATGCGATAATCAACATAGAAGTCGCTACGCACTTACGCAGTTCATATAGAAGTGCACCGATAGAAACAATCATACTCATGAATATAAGTCTGCACTGTGCGAATCGAACCGGCGACCATCGGATGTAGAGCATCGTAGTAAACTGCTAGACCAGCGAGGCGAGAGACTATAGCATGGGGTTTTCAAGATTTCTTAAGGGTATATTAAGGTTTCTTAAGGGTCGGCAACGCGCACGTGATCTTCCTGATGTCTCAGGCGTCCATAGGCTACGGTAACCGTTTACCATTACACGGGCCGTATGCTTGATTGCCACCATCATAGTATAAAAAAATAATATTTATTAAACACACACGTGACACCCCTATAGATTGATGCGTCCATAGGCTACGGTAACCATTTACCATTAGACGGGCCGTATGCTTGTCTGCCACCATTATAGTATAAAAAAACAATTATTAAGGGCAACGCGCATATAACCCTGGTGTTGCACGCGTCTATAGACTACGCAAACAGTTTTCCATCAAATTGGCCAAAAGCTTGTTTTCCAACGTCGTAGTATAAAAAAAATATAACTCACCGACACGAGTAGAGGTTGTCGAATTTAGTTTTGGTGACGGAGTCGTTCACGTTCATCGCCGGCACGCACAGCTTCCCCGCCTTACTCAGCTGATATAATCTATGCACGCCGGTCACACTCTCCTCTACTATACCTGGGTACGAGCGAGACAACAATACTGTAGTCACCTGCACTATAGGCATCAGATCAAAATATCTTTATTCATATAGCTTTATTTACAATAAACTTAACAAAATGTCAATACTATGGGTGCGAGCGAGACAACAATACTGTCACATGCACTATATGCATCAGATCAAAATATCTTCATTCACGTAGATCTATTACAGACTTATGATATGTCATATCTACTACTGTCAGTTCGGAGTGCTTTTGAGCTAAGAACCGATTGAAGAATAATTTATAAATATATTTTAGACTATCTTTTGACATATACATTAAAGTCGCTAATACAAAATAGGGGTTGGTGATAGAAGGGCGAAAATTTTGTATGTATTTTTTAATTCTAAATCATAATGAAATAAAAATAAAACATTGTCGAAAAAATAAAAAAACACTATTTAGCAAAAACAGATGCTGGCCGATTCTCAGACTTACTGAATATGCATATAAAATTTCATAAGAAACGGCCAAGGCGTTTCGGACGAGTATGATATGACTCGCCACGGCTTCGCGATGGTGTATATGTATTATATATATAAACCGTCCTCTTGAATCACTCTATCAATAAAAAAAATCGCTTCAAAATCCGTTGCGTAGTTTTAAAGATTTAAGCATACATAGGGACAGACAGCGACAGCGACTTTATTTTATACTATGTAATGACGATGTACCTTTGATGTGTTTGAATGCAGCGGCGTGTTTCTTCAGCATGAGGTGCGTGGCGTCCCCGCCGTCGTCCAGGATCATGTTGGGCTGCCAGCCGGCTGCGGGTGAGCAGCACTGGTCGATGCACCACCAGAATGCTTCCTCGCTCTCACCGCGCCACGCGAATATTGCGAACCCTGAGTTTAGGGGAAAAGGGGATTGTTAGTAATGTGGACTGATGATCTTATTGCTAGCAATGTACCATGTCAGGTTCACCTCCACGCGGTTCCCCCTGGAAACCATCCTGATAAATTCTTGGGGAATTTGTCACGATGGGCTACCTGACCTGAGCTCATGCTCATCTTATCATCCTACACTGGTGCCCAGCCAGCGTAAACCGTTAGCGCAGGCGAGAGCACCATTCCATTATCATTAAAAAAAACCCTGAGTATAAATTAGACCTACTGAGTTATATAATAATAACTAGCTAACGTCGCAAACTTATTTATAAATATACTAAAATTAATTATCGACCTTCGGGAATACACAATTATTATATTACTAATATATGAATGTTGTATTACACTAACAATAAAAGAACATACACACAAAAAACCAAAAGATTGAAAATTAAAAGCAAGTATAAAAGATTGTCTTATCACTAAGTAAAAGTAAAGGATATAAAAGATTAAATACCAATTAAAAAAACTACTAGTATTTTTCTAAGGTTTACTTTATAGCTCAACATATATATAGTTGAGCCTAAAAGTTGTAAATTTAACAACACATTCCATTAAAATTACATCCTAATTTCAACGAATTTTACTTGAAATCTTAACATACAAAATATAATAAAAAAAAAAAAAATTAAAGTGTCTGTTTGTAATTAACAGGTTTTCAATAGATGCATATGAAAGTATATACCGTACGTAACTACAAAAATGTAACGTACATGCATCAAAAAAATTTTTTTTTATTACATATATATATTTGAGATATTTTATATAAAAAGTTGCTGATCCATTTTTATAAAACTTCGCTCGCGTTTATTTATCCTCTTAGGGTTTTCGGTTTAAAATTGACAAAGTTTCATACAAACTTTCATCCCCTATTTTATCCCCTTGAGAGTTGAATTAATCAAAATCCTTTCTTAGCGGATGCCTCCGTCATAACATCGACTTGCATGCCAAATTTCAGCCCGATCCGTCCAGTGGTTTGGGTTGTACGTTGATAGATCACTATGTCAGTCAGTCAGTCACCTTTGAGTTATATATATTTAGATATGTCATCATGATAAATTAAACAATTCATTTGTACTCGAGAGAATCCGGGGCGGGCTGCTATTGTTCGACGGTTGGGAAAAAAACATAATATTCAAAAACAGACGTTCATAAGCGGCTAAAATGTCCTATATGAATGAATGATTTCTGAATTTGAATTTGAGAACTTACCAGCATGTGCTAAGGCAGCGGCAACCTCGTTCTGGGTGCTGTATATATTGCAGGCCGCCCAGCGGACGGTGGCGCCGAGGGCGGCCAGCGTCTCGATCAGAACCGCAGTCTGTGCATTTATGTGTGTGCAACCCACTATCTGAAAAGATAAAAAATATATTTATTTATTTATTTTTGCACTAGCTGCGCCCGCGGTCTCACACGTGTTAAATTTCAATAAAATATATAGCCTATATGGTATTCTGATGCATAAGGTATATTACTGTAAAGTTTCATCAAAATCCGTTCAGTAGTTTTTGCGTGAAAGAGTAACTAACATCCATACTTATAAACTTATAAATACTTACAAATAAGATTTACTTATTTTTATATACGACTAGCTGTTCCCGCGGCTTAGTCCGCGTGGAATTTAACTTTATTTTTTGTAAAATAAAAATAGCCTAAGTTACTCCTTATTACACCAGCTACCTGCCAAAAAAAGTCCTGTCAAAATCGGTCCAGCCATTTTAGAGATTAGCCGGAACAAACATACAGACAGACAGACAGACAAAAATTGAAAAAACTGTAATTTTGGTGTATGTACCGTATTTATATTCAGATGCATGTAGTAAATAACAGTTATTTCAATATTACAAACAGACACTCCAATTTTATTTTTATGTATAGATATACAATATTTTAAGGAAGGCGTTACATATGAATGTGGATTATTGTAGGGTCAGAGGAAGACCGTAAAAGAGATGGATGGACTGTATGAAAGAGGATATGGTAAGAAAGGGAGTGAATAACGAGATGACTGCGAACAGAGATGAATGGAAGAGAAAAACATTACGCCGTTCCAAATAAATGGGATAAGGAAGAAGCCGATGATGATGAGTATATACTCATCATCATCGGCTTCTCCCTAAAACTTACTTCTTCTTAACCGTCGCCTATATAGGCGACGGTTACCGTTTACCATCTGGGTTGTCACCATTCCAAATACAATACTTTAAAAAAAATGCGTTACCTTGGCATCCTTCAGGGGTTTATCTTCCTTGGCCCTGGCCCTCAGAGCCATTATTCCTGGCATCTCCTGCTCGGCTATCTCTATCTCTCTCCTACCGAATGCGTGCTGCTCCACGTTACGAACACAGTACGGGGGGTTGGGTTGGCCAGCTGCGATCGACTTCTCGTGGGGTTGTACACCTTCATCCTCTTCTGATGATGACCCTGAAACATTTTTCCTGCATATATTTATGATGCAAAAACAATAACCTTGGACAATTAACACAGCGGTATCTAAGCAGAGCTTGTGTTATGAGTACAGGGATGAAACAAAAATAACTCTGGTTAGATAGTGCTGTGTTAATTGTCCAGAGCTTATGTTATGGGTACTGGACAACTGGAATACAGGGGCGTGGCTACCGCTGTATCTGCCATATCAATTATACGGGGCCCCGGGCCACGGGGGTCCCCAACGTGCGTAAGCAAAAATTAACTTCCCAAATTTCCCACTTCCCAGAGTGATACAAACAATCATACTCATAAATACAAATATTTGCACCGTGCGAGGAATCGAACCCGCGAACATCGGAAGTAAAGCGGTGTGCTAAACCGCTAGACCACCGAGACAGTCATCATTAGTAATATTACTAATATTATTTAGGGGGGAAGGGAATTGTTAGTAATATGTACTCATTGCTAGCAATGTACCATGTCAGGTTGACCTCCACGCGGTTCCCCCTGGAAACCATCGTGATAAATTCCCGGTGAACTTATCACGATGGGCTAACTGACCTGACTTCATGTTCATCATATCATCTTCCACTGGTGCCAGCGTAAACCGTTAGCGCAGGCGGGTGCATCATTCCATTATCATCCATAAAAAAAACACAAAAGTTTGTGAGTATGGATGGATGGATTGTTACTCCTTCACGCAATAAGTGGTCCTGGTCCCCACCGACTTGCTGCCCACCTTCATGAAAGAGGACTACTGGCCGAAAGGTGTGGTGTATCGGCGCTACCGTGGCAGATTGCCGTCTTCAGTGCCGTGATCACACAGACAATATCGTTGTATTGGTTTTTAAATATTATATTATATGTATGTTAGTCTATAAGGTATTTATAATATGGGCCTAGTTGCCTGAAATAAATGAATAAATAAATTAAATAAATACTGAACGGATTTTGACGAAACTTTACAGTAATATAGCTTATATATGATAATAACATATAAGCTATATTTTATCGTAATTTAACGCGAGTGAAACCGCGGGCTACTCAAACTTTCGCTCTTATTTATTTACTAGCTGTAGTAAATAAATAAATGCGAAAGTTTGTGAGTATAGATGACTGTTTGTTACTCTTTCACGCATTAACTACTGAACGGATTTTGACGAAACTTTACAGTAATATAGCTTATACATGTAAGAAGCACTTATTAAGACAGACGACTGAGGCTTTGAAGCCGGCTACCGCAAGGGAAACCCCAAGTAGCGCCCGTGACTTGTGACACGGGTGTAGGTTTAAAAGGCCCTTTTAGAATGCATTAACACTCACCTTCACTACTTGCAGCATCCCCCCAGGCCCAACTAAGACCGGGATAAACCCATTGCTAATACAATTCACTTTAATATCCAAAACACAACTGGCACGCTCTGCATTCGTCGACTGAATGCCGCGGCTCACGCAACGAAAGAGGATTATTCAACTACCGACCTCCGTATTTATAGACCAAAGTCAGTGTAGTACACAACAAACACACAAACTTTCGCTCTTATTTATTTACTAGCTGTAGTAAATAAATAAATGCGAAAGTTTGTGAGTATAGATGACTGTTTGTTACTCTTTCACGCATTAACTACTGAACGGATTTTATATAAATGTCAAAATATATATAAATTTGAAGTAAATAAGTACTCATAAGTAATGCAGACGTTTATGCACGGATCTGCGAGTCATAATTTGTTTCAATATATACAATGATGTGGTTTTATATAAAGGCCCTTTCAATTTGTAATTTAGTAAATGACAAAAACTTAACTCACAACTAGACATCGACGCTTTACAAATAAACCAATGTTGATTTTTAAATGACACGAGATTTTCGTGTCAAGATAGTGAAAAAAATGCGCAGTTTGCTGACTTCTACGCATCATATTGCATGCATGCATATTGCATCTCTGTGCATTTTCTACCGCATATATCACGGGGAGTGTTCTGAGGAATTGTTCGGATTAATACCAGCTGCTGAGTTTCACCACGGTACCACCCGCCAGAAACTGAAATACCATCCTGATCATCTGGATGAATGGCGGTCTTCCACAGTACGGTTTTCTAGAAACTTTTTGCCTCGCACAACCACATTGTGGAATCACCTTCCAGCAATGGTATTTCCGAACCGATACGATATTGAAACCTTCAAGAAAAGAGCTTATTCCTTTTTAAAAGGCCGACAACGTACTTGCAATTCCCCTGGTGTTGCGGGTGCTCATGGGGGGCGGTAATCACTTACCATCAGGTGAGCCGCACAATCAATTACCATCAATAGCCGCTCGTTTGTCCCCTATGTTATAAAAAAGCTTCTATTTGATGTATGGTTGACTGGTATAGAACTAGGGTTGCCAACCTCATCCAAAGAGGAAGGAAGGAGATGGTTAGTAATCTGGATTAATAACCCTATTTTTTTGTATATTATAATGAAATGGTGCACCCGGCTGTTAGCGCAGGCGGGTGCGGGTTTTACGCTAGCAGGGCACCAGTGGAGGATGATAATATGAACATGAGGTCAGGTCAGTTAGCCCATCGTGATAAATTCACCAGGAATTTACCACGATGGTTTCTAGGAGGAACCGCGTGGAGGTCAACCTGACATAGCAAGCTATGGGGTCGAGAACCCACGTTACTAACAATCCCTCGCTCCCTAATAACCCCATTACTAGCAATATAACATGTCAGCTTGATCACACGGTTCCCCCTGGAAACCTTTGAGACAAATTCCTAGTAAATTTGTCACGATGGGCTAACTGACCTGACCTCACATTCATCTTATCATCCTCCACTGGTGGCCCGCCAGCGTAGCAATGTACCATGTCAGGTTGACTTCCACGTGGTTCCATCTGGAAACCATCGTGATAAATTCCTGATGAATTTGTCATTACGGATTAACTAACCTGACGTCATGCTCATCTTATCATCCTCCACTGGTGCCCCGCCAGCGTATACCGTTAGCGCAGGCGGGTGCATCATTCCATTATCATCCATAAAAAAAATCTATTTAATTTTTGTTTGTCCTGTAATTAGTAATTTTTGTAGCTGTGACGTGGTCGTGTGGAATGAGTAGTCATGCTCACTAAAATGTCCAGACATGTGGCGGCGTGGTCGGCCGGGTCATTGGGCTCCCTAAAATATGGTCGAGCGCAGTGATAGCTGGCTCATCCGTCATACTCGTGAAACGAGTGCTGCTTGTAGGGACTGGTCTGCTCTTATCACTAACGACTGATTTAATCTTAGTGCATATTTATATTTGACCCAAAAAATTTGTGCTTGTTGGTAGTTTGTATTCACACGTTTCGACTTGTAAATGTAAACTTACAAGGATTATTTAAAAGAGCAACACACAAGTTTCTTGCTCGTTCTTCTTGTGATGAGACAGCTTTCCGAACGAGCGGTAGTTAAAAAACAAATTGTTACGACTATTCAAAAGTGCTTAAATTAAGTTTATTTGAATAAATGATTTTCTATTCTATTCTATTCTAAATTGGTGCAATGAACTTTTCATTGCACCAATTACAGGACAAAAAACAAAACAACCTATAAATAAAATAAATATATATGATCACATACAAAGTGAGTACTTACAAAAATCACTTCTTCCAGATACAATTGATTGACGTTTCTTCACTGCCTTCTCTGTCATGGTGTTCTTTAGTATACCAGATAACGTAGGCATGTAATTAGCTATATATATACACACACTAATATTATGAATAGTTGTGTTATTATTATATTAAAAATTCGTATCGGTCTGTTTGTTTGTTACCTTAAAACACAACTAAACTGCTAAACGGAGCACGAGTCGTTTTTCGTGGCCGAACAGTGAACTCTAGAGTTCCAAGCTATATCCAAAATTCCAAACTCTATTCAAAGCCTGATGATGCCTCGTTCAGAGACGAAACAAGACGCAATATGGGTGTAGACTCAATAACAGTCGGGATTTGATGGCCATTAGAGAAGATCGTAACGATAATCAAGTTTCCACACCGAATATTTGTGGTCTCACACATGCTAATTGTAGCGGAATTAAACAAAATCATATAAATCCATAGAGTAGTGAAATGGACTTCCGAAAAATAACACCTAATTCTATTATATATAAAGTCACATATAGCTGGCAGTATGTAATAATCCTCACTAATATTATAAAGGCAAAAGTAACTCTGTCTGTCTCGCCGTCACTCCAAAACTACTGAACCAATTTAATTAAAATTTCGTACACCGATATCCTAGATCCTGAGTAAGGACATTCTACTTTTTAATGCGAAAAAAGGGTTGTATAGGATAGAAAGGGAAGATGAAAGGTTTTATAGAATTATCGTAATTTTATGCGGACGAACTCGCGGGCACAGCTAGTACGAAACAAAACACAACGAGCGAGACACAAACACAGAACTGCAATGATAATCAATTCCACGTTTAACAACCATCAGTGAATGCTTATTCAACCATTTATTGCAAACACCAGCTACTTAATGGTATTATTCAGTTATGAACAATTTTGTTCTATTTATAATGTTGATAAGTAATATCATATTACTTTTTTTTTTATTAATTCACTTAATATCATCATCATTGCCTTGCCTTTATCCCATTATATGTGGTCGTCGCAGTATGTCATTCTCTTCCACTGCGCTCTATCGGTCGTCATATCTGAACATACTCTTCTTTTGTTCATATCGTCTTTCACACAATCCATCCATCTTTTCTTAGGGCGTCCCCTCCCTTTACATCGATCCACATTCATATTATACACTTTCCATAAGACATAGTCCTCGTTCCTCCGCTGTAATGTTGATAGCTAGTAATTTACTTTGGGCTGACTTACTGACCCAAACTAACTAACCAAACTACAAACTTTGGCATATAAATTCAAATCTCTACTAGCTGACCCAAACTAACTAACCAAACAACAAACTTTGGCATATAAATTCAAATCTCTACTAGCTGACCCA